CTCTCTCTCTCTCTCTCTCTCTCTCTCTCTCTATATATATATATATATATATATATATATATATATATATATATGTGTGTGTGTGTATATATATATATATTAAGAAATGGACAAGGTCCGACAATTTATTTATTAAAGACATTTTTTTTATGTTTAACGTTGTTATTTTATAGATACAAGTATTTAAGCAAATGCTCTGTTTATGATAAACAGTATTAAATAACATTTACCGGCCTGAATGTCCGAGAAATTTTCATAGAAAATATTCGTTCTTTGACAGGATTCGAACCTGCATCCTATACGGAACCGTCATATACGCTGACGTGCCTTACCGCTAGGCTACAAAGAAGCGTTCGGTAGACAAGCAGTAAATTCGACCTTGTCTACCGAACGCTTTTTTTTTCGAAAACCATAATGTACAAAGAAATATTGAAAACAAAAAAAAAATTGGCGTCTTCCACCCCATAATAAAATTATTTCCTGACTTGATACAAAAAATATTATTTGACTTTCGATGTATACATATATTGGGTTGGCAGAAAATTTCATTCAGTTTATTAATTAAATTTTCTGCATAATAATGGAAGTTGTGACTAACAATATATATATATATATATATATATAAAATTATTTATTTAAATATAAGATTACAACGCTGCGTTAATTTCTCATGTTTCAAAACATGAGAACTCTTATGTAACGTTGGAATCATATTTTAAATAAATAATTATATTTATGCTCTACTTTTGTATCGAGCACTGTTTTTTAAAAAATAATAACAAAAATACTAAGGAACCTTGGATTATTTACCTAACGAGTTCTTTTTCCTATTTTCTATATATTTTACACACACACACACATATATATATATATATATATATAATATATATATATATATATATATATATATATATATATATATTGATTTTTCCAAGCGTCGTTTAGATGTGGCACAAGGCCGAAAGTATGGGATATCTAGTGAGGATCGAACTTACTACTCAGTCGTAGTTGTTCTAGCGTGACAAGCTTGCTAAGTATTACACTGCCTCGAGGTGCCTATATATATATATATATATATATATATATATATATATATATATATATATATATATATATATATATCTGCTTGCTGGTAGCAGTGAAATATATATATATATATATATATATATATATATATATATATATATATATATATATATATAGTTCACTGCTACCAGCAAGCAGATTTTTTTTTCTCCTGATGATGTTTATGTTGGCCGAAACTCGTCGAAGAATCTAAATGAAAATAATAATAAAAACGAAAGAATATTAATATACAAACCAGTGTGTCTGAAGATTTTAATTTTTTAATATTTCTTATTGTTTAATATATATATATATATATATATATATATATATATATATATATATATATATATATATTTTTGAGATATGTTTTATTCATATCTGAATATTTACATATACTTTCTTGTATACAATTGATAAATTATTTTCCTGGTTATGCAACTCTGGATCACGAGCGGGTTCGAAATCCTTTATGGGGGAACAGAAACTTTAGTCGAAAAAGCATTAAGTTAACCACATGAACGACGGAATTCTGAAGACAGCACTTGAAAAATCGAAATTACCAAAACTCTGACGGAAAAACTCCAAAACAATATTCGAAAATCGATATTTGAATGTCTTCTTGCAACACGCAGTAACCTCTTTTATATTCGTCTGGAGCCAGAATTATTACATCTTCAAAATGTAGATTCCGAAATCGGTTAATACACAATCCAATACCTACTACTTTTATCTAAGTGTCTCGATTCTCATTTCTTCTCCATCTTGTTCTATGCGCGATGCGATCTACGTGCGATAATGACACTCCACGACTTCCGGTCCTTTGCAGCTCTTAGCAAATTTTCTCTTTTTCATCTCTCCTAATAGCTCTTCTGCCATCCATTTACGCAATCTCGTTAAAAAAAAAGTTACGCGCTGCTTTCCTCTGTCCCTCAATATGCGCTGTGAGTGTCAAATTCTCCAAGCCGTCTTTCCTCAGTCTGAATTGCTGTTCATGTTCTAGGTCTAGTTCGAAGTTTGATCTCCCCAGACATAGACAGGGGAAACGAGGACAGTTTTAAATAAAGGGTTCAGTTCAGAATTCCCTCTAGGTTACCCGGATCGTTATACACCTGATGAAGCCCGGAGAACATAAAGGCCGGAACGTTGTGATATTAACAAAGATGAGGAAAACAGTCCGAATATAAATAGTGTAAATGCGTCCTTTCTGTTTGCATTGTCTCTAAAACTTTCGTCGTTGCTCACATGTTCGGTCCATGGTATTCTCAGTATCCTTCTGTAGAACCACATTTCTTTTGCTTCAAGTCTCAAGTGCGGAGATTGTTCAGCGTACACTGTCATTTATTTTTTTATTTGATTCAATTTAATCCAAATTGTTTAATAAAATCCTGTTGAATGACAACACTATTTTTAAGAGCCTTTTACATTATCTTTGGATGGATGTTGTTTCTTATCTTCATCAACGACCTTCCTTATGTCATCTGATTCCAACCTGGTATTTCGTTTCATGGCGCAACTATTTGCTCCTGTTTTAATAAGTCCGATAAAGTAAAACTAGTTCTGAAACTAACCTACAATCAGTTGTTTACTGGGACAAGAAATGGCTTGTACATTGTAACGCATTCAAAACAAAAGGTCTATCTTTTAGTTATCAGAGATAACTATTTTTGCCTTCTATTATCATGGCTGACGCTAAACTCCAGGAGAGCATCTCATTGCGCTTTCATGGCCTCACGTTTTCCGCTGATATGAAGTGGGGTTATTATATTGAATCAATTGTTATATCTGCTGCTAAGATTGGTTCCCCATGTTGTGCCAGGCCATCTTTCCCGATTGTATTCATCTTGCATATTTATAAATCTGCCATTCGTCCGTGCGTTGAATATTGCTGCCATGTTTGGTTTGCTGACCCTGTTATATATCTTGTGATTCTCCAAAAAATCCAATTAAGAGTCTGTAATGTTATCAGTCTTGACCTGGCATCTCGATTTCACAGATCGTGACAGCTATTAGGGAGATATGATTAAACATACTTTAACGTTTTAAAGAAATTTATTCAGTATTAATATTGTTTAGGTAATAAGCATTATAACATAGTATAAATAGCTATATTGTGGAAAAGGGAATTTTCCACAATATATGCATTTTTTTTATGTATTTATCGTTATTTTAAAATTTTTATCAAAAACGATATTCTTGTACATGTAGTTATGGACAATATTATACATTAATTACTTTTTTTTTTAAATTAATAACTATTTGTGCTCAGTTGCTGACATTAAAAGTTACCTGCTGATGTGTTAAAATTTTGTAATAATGTATTAATAAGAATTTAAATTTCACCTCACTGATAAATGTCGTGATCTGTCAGTCACTGTCCCAACACAGTGACCTGGCTTTCCCTTTGTCTTTCCTATAATTATTTTCATAGCAATTGTTCTAATGAGTTTCCCACTTTGGTATTCCGCCGGATGAACTTAAGCTTACTACTAGATTGGAAATTAGGTCTCTTTGTTTTACTGTTGAATTAGCACGATATGAACACAAGTTCTATTCTGATAATTTTTTCTTCTCATACTTTTTGTCTGTAGAACTATCTTCCGAATTCTTGCCACCCTACCTCACCTTCAAAAAAATTAAGTGTAATATCAGTCGCCATCTTCTGTCTTCCCGAGCCTGTTCTTTTACTGCCCTTTATCGTCAACAAGGTTTTCTCAGTTCCTTTAACTTATAGTAACCTCATGCGTCTGAGTGGCATTATCGCTTTACTTGGAGTGAAATGATTTTTTTTAAACCCAGCCTTATTATCTGTACATTTAATTGGAACATTTAGTTAGTTTCAACTTTCCGTCATCGGACGCCAGCAACGTGCACACGCATAAATAATTGTCTTATTACGAAATCCGTGGAATCGAAAGCACATAAACAACAGAATTAATATGACCAACTGGAATATTAATGACAATGCTGATTTTTATATCTCTCGTAAAGAGGACAAAATCAATGCAGTTTTCGTTAAATATAGGTGAAACAAGGAATACTATATTATTTACATTATTCCGACTATTATCCTCATCTTTGTCGCCATATTTATTACAACGTTTCGGTCGTTGTATGCTGGTGGTTGGAATGTCGAACTGTACCCTTTATTTTGCTCACTGTTCTAGTTCCACGTGCCATGTTTAATGGATGTCAGTTATCAGTTATCTCCTGTTAATTTCCCGCTGAAAGTTCTCCACTGCCTTAACCGGGTATTAAACTCACACTCTTTTGGATCCTGTCACTGGATCTAACTAACGTCTTTATCCACTGTGCCATGTGTCTTTGAGGACATCTATGTATTAATTTCTGGGTATTACAAATCTAATAATAACAAAAAAATTCCAATATGAGCTCTGGTAAAAACATGCAATGATAACAGCAAAAATTACAATATGAGAACTGGTCAAAAATGGTTGCTGAAGACATTAGATTTATAATACCTAGAAATTCTTCAAGGACAAAATGGAACAGCCCAACATGCTAATTACAAATTGGAGTTGCCAGAATCAAGCAAGTAAAAAAAAAATTAAATCTCTATCTATAAAAGGCAGAATGTGTGTGTGTGTGTGTGTGTGTGTGTGTGTGTGTGTGTGTGTGTGTGTGTGTGTGTGTTCAACGAATGCACGGCCGCAATTTTCGACGAATTTGCGCCAAAATTTACATGCACATGCTCCAAGTTAACGGGAAGGCCAAGACCGACTTTGCATTTCCCAACTCCTATCGATAGTGGAAATAATCGATTTTTTCATACTTCTACGGCAGTTTTCATGTAGTTTGCGACCATTTTCTACTGGCCAGAGTGAGAGCCTATAGCTGGCTGCCACGAATAGGCAGCAAGATTCTGGCTGCCACGAATAGGCAGCAAGATTCTATTGGCCAGCGTGAGAGCCAACAGCTGACTGACACGAATGTTAACTAGCATGCTAGCATGCAAAAAAAATCGATAGCTGCATTCGTCACAAGTGGGAAAAATTTAAATCTGCATGGCACTTTACTCCAATTGGCTCATTCGCTTGCTTAAACTCAACGTGGATTCTTATTCCGCAGAACTGGGTTAGGTGTGAAAAAGTATTTGTTATTAACATTCGGTTTTTCCAGTTACGAGTCCTTTTTTAAAGCTGATCGTGTTGTGTTCATTTTGTTTAGTTCTTTTTTCGTAACAGATTTAATGTTTAGTATAGAGCTTAGAAAAAATTCGCAGTGTGAGATAGGCAAGAAGTAAGGCATGTAGCAACATCAGCACGGCAAAGGGCACTCCTTTAAAGGCAAGGAAGGGCAAAATAAGTGATAGCGATTGCTGTATGAGTCGTACGATTTTTGAATCAAGTACGGGCAACGCCGGACCATGCTGCTAGTATCGAAATAAAACCGACACAGAAATCAGAAGACGCACTGTGATAGCGAAAGTTGCCTTCGAAAAGCTAAGTATTAAGAAACAGAAAAATGTAAGCTTGGTTTATTTGGCAAAGGATATTTCTGAGTGGCATTATCGCCTTGCGATAGAATAGAAATGGTTCTGGTACTGATTGGAAAATGGAAGATAAAGAGCATGAAACGTTCGCGTTTGTAAGTGAGAGGGGTGCGAGGGACAAGGGTGTTCTTTTTATTTTATTTTTTTTTGTGTGTGTGTGGTTGACAGCGAGGAGAAAGACTAGCCTACAGTTACTGTGGATCAACCGTACGAACCAATCGAGCGAGGCTTTTCAAACTTTTCTAATTAGCCATGCGACGCTGCCAAGTGGGAATGGCGGTCAAAATGGAAGAATTCAGTTCAAGCCTCAAAGATCGCCTGTGTCTATGGAGTTGGGTGCCATGAGATGAATGGAGCGAGGAAAATAGGATGATTTGCATCAAACGGCGATGTCCGTGAAAGACTTCGGGATGAAATTAGAGACGGATGGTTGCCCCCGGGATTATGAGGTGGAAGTTGGGTTTAGGGTTAATGTGACACAGAACAAAGCACTCACGTCACTGCAGCTCGAATGTCTGTTTGTCCTTCTGTCTGTCTGTCTTTTAGTTTATTTGTCAATTCTCATCTCTTCTTTTTTTGTTTTTTGTCTCATTCTTTTTAAACGTTGTACTTTTATTCTTTCTCAATAAACTGCGCCCCACAATGCATGCATAACCATAGCACTGATCGATATATGCAATTCTTTTTTCTATAATGCCGTGTCCCTTCAAGACGTGCTGGATCATGACTCTTCACAGCTTCCTGTCCTTTGTAGCTCTTAATAAGCTTTGTCTTTTTGCTATCTCCCCTAATCCCTGTTCTGCCAACCATTTACACAAGCTCGTTTAGGTTATGCAATGTTTTCCTCTATACCATTTGTCTTCAATATATCTTACGAGTATCAGATTCTCCAAACCTTCTTTCCACATTACCTAGAAATTTCAACTCTCTCTCTCTCTCTCTCTCTCTCTCTCTCTCTCTCTCTCTCTCTCTCTCTCTCTCTCATATGTTAAATATAAGTGCCTTTTTTGTTTCCACTTTCTCTGAACTTCATCGCTGCTCACATTTTTAGTCCATGGTATTCTCAGCATCCTTCTGTAGAACCATATTTCTGCTGCCTCGTCTCTTCTTCTTCTTTGATGGAATTATCCAGCATTCACTTTCATATAGGAGCCACCGATATTACATAATAGTTCAGTACCCATTTCTTTGTTTCTGAAGAACTTTTCATATTTCTTAATACTTTGCTTAACTTTTCGAAAGCACCTTTCGCTATCGTAATGCACATTCGGGTTTCGGTATCGCATTTTCTGTCCGCTGTTAAAACAATTCCTAGATATTCAAATTGTTGGACTTGCTTGATATTGGTGTCTACAATTTCTAATTCATATGGTGAGCTGTCCCATTTAATGGCAACCATATATTAATGCTTTTATTCTCGTTTTCTTTTAATACCTTCAGCAAATGTTCCTCTTGTTTACTTCTGTTTCTGCTATCGACACTGTGTCATCTGCATATCTAATGTTGTTAAGATTGTGGCCGCCAATAATGAATGCTGGTAGGGCTTCTAATTCTCTCTGGATGACTTCATTGTATAGATTTTAATATGTTTGGTGAGAGACCTATCCATGAAGTTATGAATTCGACTGTGAAGCTGATATTCAAAGAGATGTGTATAAATAAAATACGAGTCAGGAACTAATGCTATCGCAGGCACGAACAAAACTAGATAGATAGATAGATAGATAGATAGATAGATAGATAGATAGATAGATCGATAGATGGCCACTCGTATTCGAGGATACCCGTCTACTAGGGCGGCTAGACAATCCCTATTGCAGACGCTCGCTCAGGCACATTTGTGTTCTGTTCAACACCCACAGAGCCCACCTGTGGTTTATACTGCATCTATGCTGAGCAGACCTTAGTTACAGTTTCTGGGAGAGAGCGTGTTATGTAACGTGATCAACATTCTGAACAAGGCCAGCACACCCTCGATCACGATGACTTGTGACTTCGTGCTAGCACAGCTATCGACGGCCCCACCGACGGTATGGTTTTTAGGCACTTTCTAAAGGTGCCGCACGCTGGGATCGTCCCCCTCCAGACCGATAACATCAGAAAGACTCCTTCCTGACAAATCGGCCATGGTGAGATTCGCACCCGGGTCTCCCGGTCAGAAAGCGAATATTATAATCACTCGGCCACGATATATATATATATATATATATATATATATATATATATATATATATATATATATATATATATATATATATATATATCGTATATATATATATATATATATATATATATATATATATATATATATATATATATATATATATATATATATATATATATATATATATATATATATATATATATATATATATATATATATATATATATATATATATATATATAAACACAAAAAGAACACACAGTAGTCATTAGAAGATAAGAATAACGATAACTCCTTCACCATTTCAATCTTAATTATTCTATAACCTTTCACGCAGAACTTATCATTGCCAGTTCAAGAAAGACATTTGTGTAACTAACCCACAAAAATAGAATGTCTCACATCGAGAATATTTAACATCGATAAACATAAGAAAAAATTAATTATTTTTAACAATATGTGGAAATCTCCACGCTTTGTCTGATGAAGGTCGGGAGACCGGAAACACGTGTAGCAAAATTATGGAAAATAAAGTATAATATTTTTTTAAATCCACATTACAACCAAAAACGTTTGAGTTTCTTCTCTTCTTTATATATATATATATATATATATATATATATATATATATATATATATATATATATATATATATATGTAAATATTTTTTCTTTCTTTGTATAAAAATGTTTTTTCTTGAACCTTTACTGCCGAGTAAAATATGGAATTATATCTTATATTTATTTTCCCTCACAAGTTGTACATTTAGTTCCCTTGATATTTGTGCCTTGTCGGTAGTTCATGTGCGCATCAATATTAACTTGAGTCATCTATGGCGTAGCAGCAGGAGATGCTGGAGTCTTTAGGCCCTTGGAAGTTCCTACAATATTCACAGACACAGTACACGTATCACGATTCAGGGGCAATCATCTCCGAGCAAGATACGCATTGCAATACTAGTAACATGTTAAGAATTCTGCTGTGAAGAGGACAGTTAAATAGATAAATAAAAGGAGCATCAGAGAATAAGCTTAACATAAACACAAACAATCCGAGATAGATAGATAGATATGAATAGTGTGACATAGATAGATAGATAGATAGATAGATAGATAGATATGAATAGTGTGACATAGATAGATAGATAGATAGATAGATAGATAGATAGATAGATAGATAGATAGTTAGATAGATAGATAGATATGAATAGTGTGACATAGATAGATAGATAGATAGATAGATAGATGATACGAATAGATGACATAGATAGATAGATAGATAGATAGATAGATAGATAGATGAATAGTGTGACATAGATAGATAGATAGATAGATAGATAGATAGATAGATAGATAGATATGAATAGTGTGACATAGATAGATAGATAGATAGATAGATAGATAGATAGATAGATATGAATAGCGTGACATAGATAGATAGATAGATAGATAGATAGATAGATAGATAGATAGATATGAATAGTGTGACATAGATAGATAGATAGATAGATATGAATAGATGAGATAGATAGATAGATAGATAGATAGATAGATAGATAGATATGAATAGATAGAAGATAGATAGATAGATAGATAGATGAAGATAGATAGATAGATAGATAGATAGATAGATGTGAATAGATGATGATAGATAGATAGATAGATAGATAGATAGATAGATAGATAGATAGATATGAATAGTGTGACATAGATAGATAGATAGATAGATAGATAGATAGATAGATAGATAGATAGATAGATATGAATAGTGTGACATAGATAGATAGATAGATAGATAGATAGATAGATAGAGATAGATAGATGATATGAATAGTGTGACATGATAGATAGATAGATAGATAGATAGATATGAATAGATGAATGCGTGACATAGACATAGATAGATAGATAGATAGATAGATAGATAGATAGATAGATAGATATGAATAGATAGATAGATAGATAGATAGATAGATAGATAGATAGATAATGAAAAGAAAGAAAGAAAGAAAGAAAGAAAGAAAGAAAGAAAGGACTTGTTTAGAAAGGAGAGAATATTTGCTCTAAAATCTGTGGTGTTTTAAATGCTTTGATTCATTTTCTAGTTCTTTCTTTTCTTTTTTAAATGCCTTTAAACGCTTATTGGTTCATAATGGCGTCACACGGTGTTTCAATTTAACATTCCTTTCCTGATTTTTTTTTCTCCTCTTGCCTGTATTTCGTCAGCCTGGCTTCCAAGAATGACACTTTGGCAGAGATTGAAATGTATGTTGATCCATTTGTTATATAGGAGACAGGAACAAACTTGAAAATTCGTTTTCTGTTTGAGAGAGGCCAAAAGAAGAAAAAAAAAACACAAAAGACAAAGATGGAAAAAAAAAGGAAAAAAAAAAGGAAAAGAAAAGCAGAATGCTAGCAGGAAGAATTTACAAGCACTTCCCTCCCCGAAACTTTTACTGGTGAAATATGAAGAGTTTGATTTGATGTGATATTGAAAATCCTCCGAGGGGTTAATTCAAAATTCGTTTTTCTGTGACGCCAACGGCTCTCCTTGCCTCATTTTTCGTTCTATACCAGAATATTACTGTTTGCCTCGGCAAACGCATTATATATATATATATATATATATATATATATATATATATATATATATATATATATATGTGTGTGTGTGTGTGTGTGTGTGTGTGTGTGTGTGTGTTGTGATTGCGATTATTTGCGTGTATATAAAAATATGATTATATTGTTTAGCAATCGGATAATAGAAAAAAATTATGTTCATTATTTTCCAGGTTTGTTTACAATTTTGTAAATAACTTTGTAAAAAATAAATTTAACGTGTGTATGCCGCTAGTAAAATTCTTCTGGCTTCTTCTTGCCTAAACTTTCGATGTAGCAAACACCACGTGGATAATAGGAGTTATTAGTTTCAAAAATGGGTAAGATCGGACATTACCCCGATGTTTGGAATAGTTTTAACTCTAACAAATTGATATAATAATCGGTGAGTACACACACACACACACACACACACACACACATACACACACACACACACACACACACACACACATATATATATATATATATATATATTTAAAAATATATATATAGTAAAATAATTGTATACGCCTAACAAATCTCGTCGACAAATGCATTATAAATTACTGAGTGTTAAAACGTTTAATATGGATTCATACATTCATATATATATATATATATATATATATATATATATATATATATATATATATATATTATAAATTAATTGATTTAAAATATTTTTTTTTTTCGCTACACAGTTCCAACCATGTTTCAAAAAATAGAAGCTAAAACCCCTGAATTTAATTTTGCAATTAAATTAAAAGCATTAGTTCCATTTCATCTTCAAACGAATTTTTTTTTTTTTATATCTTACTGTTCTTTTTTTTTTATTTATATATATATATATATATATATATATATATATATATATATATATATATATATATATATATATATATATATATATATATATATATATATATATATATATATATATATGGTGAGTGGACGTAGTGAATCCTGAAGCGTCCGTCTACGAAAATCTGTAGTCGGGATGCTGAAGGCATCATCAATCGATTAAGACTTTTACTTGTATAAATTGTATTAATTTCACTTTGATGCTTGGGCTTCCCAGGCATCAAACCGAAAGGAGTGGCGTAAGACATGTTTCTTCAAGGTAACGGGTTTTGATGACTGTAGACTGAAGCACCGTGATCAGCTTTGTCAATCCCTGAAGCAGAGACGCCATCCAAATCCAGCTTTAACAAATTTCATCTCCGACTGCAGCAAGTCTGGTTTAGTATCACACTTAAGAAAGCAGAAATGAAATATGTCTTTCCCTTATCTGATTTTCTCCACAATAGCCCCTGCTAGCATGCATAAGTGTAAAACGAAAGGCACCATCTAATGCTGACCCTTATTTATGGTTCAGCATAGGAGAGTCCACCATATCTATCTATCTATCTATCTATATCTATATATATATATATATATATATATATATATATATATATATAGTTGCGGCCAAAATGTTCAGAACGGCATTGTTTTCGTCAGAAAAGTAGGTATAAGTTTTTATCAAAGTTGTTTTATAATCTATAATTTTCACAGACAATAAATACGATATTAATTGTTATTGTCTGAGATTTTGGTGTAATTTGAGAGGATAATACAAAAGTTATGGATGATTCAGAACACAATCTCCAGGCCATATAGCAATCCCTCGTTTATATAAGTGTCATTAAAGACGGCTCACAAACTACTGCAGTTAAATTTTTGTATTTAATTTTTCTTCTGCTCATAAAGTACAGACAAACCTCTCATCAACGTACTATAAGTGGAGGAATGGTCCGTTAAAATCAATTGTCCGCAGATGGACGAAGCTCTAATTTGTCACTGATACTTAGGTTTGTACGCTTCCTTTTTACATATTTCCTCAGCTTCGATGCTATAATGAGAGCAGATCAATTAATATATTAATCAAAATAACAAATGTAATAGATTTCTCACAGCTACTTTCTCACGCACGCGCTAATGTATCGTACTTTATATACTGTACACCTATCTTCCTTTACAATTGAAAGGGCCGCCACCACCGCCAAGCGGTCATTTTGAGAACAAATAAGACTCGATCTGCTAAGCCCGTAAGTTTTTTTTTACTCCAGAATTTCTTTCTAAATTTTTCCTGCAGATTTTGTCCGGTACATCCGAAATCCGTTGATGAGGGCTCGGTAAATAATCGGTTTCTCTGTATGTAAACATTGTTCAAATCTTCTGTATGTCCGAGCGCTTTCATCTATTCTTCTAGCCATTATCAAGGATAATTTTATTTATTATTTTTAACTGAATGTATGGATTTTTTTCTGTTTGTATCTAGAGTGTACCGCGGATGTTGAACATTAGGTTGAAGTGTACCGCGGATGTTGAAAATTAGGTTGAAGTGTACCGTGGATGTTGAACTTTAGATTCAAGCGTGCCGCGGATGTGGAATTTTAGGTTCAAGTGTGAGGCGGATGTTGAACTTTAGCTTCAAGTGTACCGCGGATGTTGAACTTTAGCTTCTAGTCTACCGCGGATGTTGAACATTAGGTTTAAGTGTGCCGAGGATGCTGAACCTGAGGTTCAAGTGGGCCGCGGATGTTGAACTTTAGCTTCAAGTGTACCGCGGATGTTGAAAATTAGGTTTAAGTGTGCCGCGGATGTTGAACTTTAGGTCCAAGAGTACCGCAGATATTGAACATTAGGTTGAAGTCTACCGCGGATGTTGACCTTCAGCTTCAAGTGTGCCGAGGATGTTGACCTTCAGCTTCAAGTGTGCCGAGGATGTTGACCTTCAGCTTCAAGTGTGCCGAGGAGGTTGAACTTTAACTTCAAGTGTACCGCGGATGTTGAACAATAGGTTGAAAACTACCGCGGATGTTGAACTTTACCTTCAAGTGTACCGAGGATGTTGAAATTTAGTTTCAAGTGTACGGCTGGTGTTGAACATTATGTTTAAGTGTGCCGAAGATGTTGAACCTGAGGTTCAAGTGTGCCGCGGATGTTGAACTTTAGGTTCAAGTGTACCGCGGATGTTGAACTTTAGCTTCAAGTGTGGCCTAAGGCGAAAAAAGAAACATTGAAAAACATTGATTCACATTGTTATTTCAGTCTTTTGTTTCCGTATGGTATTTTGTATTTATTGATAAATTTTTTTGTGTCCTCTGTCACCCTCTCCAATGTTTAATTTATTGTAAGTCTCATGAGAATCTAAGACATTGCAAAAGTCTACTGGAGTTTTTTGTTCAAGCATATAACTCAAGGCTTCATGGTCCCACGTAAATATAACAAATGTATTTACAATTGTAAATTGCTTTCGCTGCTCTTACGTCACTGGACGTTTCTCTCACCGGACCAGTGTGCTTCACGTATTGGCTCGCTCAGACTCTAAAGAACGAAATGAAGTCGAAAGAAATCAAGCTCTATATCCACTAGGCCGTATTCTATAATAAAAGTATTGAGAATGCAAATCCGAAAAAGAAAATCATTTATCGGTAGTAATACTCCATCCCACAAAATATTATTCAGGATTCATCATTGTGAAGTAGTTTCACTGCCTATTATTAAAAGTAGTACTTCCCGTATGACATGGAAGAGTCTGTTTGATTGGGAGATGTTGTGGTGACGTCACTGTTACGTTGACATCAACTATTTTCCTGACCCTAAACTGGCCGCTCATCTCCAAATTTGCTGTGAACTTATGGTAACGTTGCCAAGAAAATTTCGAAAAAATATCCGCATTGGTCAATGATAATTCTTCACTTCTATATATGTATAAAAGAGATAAAATTTATTTTCGTATTCTTTTTCACTAATTTAGAAGCATTTTCTGATATCTTCCTAGAAATTAATATTCATTTTCTGTAAATGCTACGTTACAAGGCAACGTATTTGCAACGTTACAAGACAATTTATTTGCAACGTTATATGGCAACGTATTTGCAACATTACAAGTTAACGGATATATAAGCCAACTTATTTATAACGTTATAATGTAACGTACTGCAAGGTTACAAGACAACTTATTTGCAACGTTACAGGACAAGTTATTTGCAACGTTACAAGTTAACGTATTTACAACGTAACGCATTTACAACGTTTTTAGGCAACATATTTGCGAACTTATAAGGTAACGTCTTTGCAACGTTACAAGGTAACGTATTTATAACGTTACAAAGTAAAGTATGGGCACGTGGCCGAGGAGTTAGATCGTTCGCCTTCTGACCTTGAGACCCGGGTTCGAATTTCATTTCGATTTATCAGGAAGGTGACATCTTGATATCATTTATCGGTTTGATGGGGGCGATCCCAGCGTGCAACACCTTTTCGAATGTGCCTGAAAAGCCATACAACGGGTTGATCCAAGCCTTGGGAGTTAAATTGGATAGACGAATCCCGTCGATGACTGTGCTAGCATGAAGTTACAAGTCATCATGACCGAGAGTTTGGGCG